ACAAGTAAACAATAATACGGAATATAAAGACAAAATTAAGTAAAAAGTTTGGCGTTTATAGAGTCACTTTGTACGTTTAGTGATGGTTTATGATGGTTTTTATATAAAAATAGTAGAGCTACAGAAGATTGTGCTCCTTGGTACAGCACATATACTAAGGAGGACACTATCCATCAAGTAATACCAATCACAATTATGTATGGACTCCTAATGTTCAAGGGATGAACACGGACCTATATTTTATAAAACTTTGAAAAGAAAACAATACAGATAATAATAATAATAATAATATGTGGTATTTATATAGCGCCAATATCCTCTGGGTTCAAAGGCGCTTCACATGTATAGATCATTTCACACGGACCGCTGTTTAAGGCGCAATTGGCAGCCACGCGGCTTACAATCATGAGGGGTTAGTAATTAGTATGGGTTAGTAGTAAGGCCTAGCCACACACACCGGGAATCATTCCCTACTCTTATGCGAACAGTGGTGTGGGTTCTTTAACGTCCCTCTAATACAGGTTAGTGAGTGAAGTGTAGAGAGACGGGACCTCCGATTTTACGTCTTTATCCAAGAGGACGAGAAGATCTTACCATTTGCAGATGGAGAAAGACAAAGGCAGCGACTTCTCCTCAATTATTTTAAGACCCTGAGTGTTGGTCCGGCCGGGGTTTGAACCTGCGACCTCCCGCACTAAAGTCCGATGCTCTACCTACTGAGCTAACCGGTCGGCAGTACAAAAGTCTGCATCTGTCCCTTGAAGAAATAATGGTTAATACTAGGTTTACTGGTGGAGCTATAATCTCCTTATATAATTTCAGGGCTAAGCCATCCTAAGAAACAAAATTTCCTCGTTATCTCTTCTCTTCGTGCCGTTTGTATTGCAAATCAATCAACTTTTAAGGCAGGCTGCTATGTCATTACTATCAATGCCCTACTTATTATTCATATAAGTACGGCCTGCATTGCTGCCTCTCAACTATCTTCTCTCTTCAGTTACAGACATTGATGACTATTTTCAAAGCAAATATTTTATTCAAAAATAATCTCATTTATTCAAACAAGCCTTTAGCTCTTTATGAATTTCTCATAAGCTACAAAGCTTAGAACACACCTGAGAAGCGCTATAAAAGACTTATTGTTATTTCTTATTACTATAGTAACATGAGATGATAGTGATAATTATGATACTGATGGCAGCATTGATGATATTCACAATAAATGCGATAAGTTGAATGTTTCATTATAACACTCTCTCCGATTGGCTACGGTTTACCATATAACACACTCTCCGATTGGCTGCGGCTAACAGTAGTACGCGCTTCACCACAACAATTTCAATTGTGGGTTTTACTCCGTAGAGGGAATAGTCTCATTTTGCCATCATTTCCTATAAACATGAAGTTTACTAGTGTACTAAGCCTTCTCGTGTTTTTTTTTTTACAATTACGTGTTTATAATATGACATGAACACGTGCACGCGTTTAGTATTTCATTATAATACGGCGTCAGGCCTTAATTTAAGATGACCAGAATTAGATTGAGACTGAGTTTGATTATTTAATAAGCCGCAAAAACAAACTATTCACTTATTACGATAGAACAACGAATAACTCAATCATAGTCAATGTAGGTGGCTTATTTCAGTGTGCATGGATTTAATCTCCTTTTTCATGCGTGACATAGCATAACAGGTGCATGCTGTATATTAAAAGATCATTTAAATGATGTCCTAATCTGCGTGGTTTGTAGGGAGTGGCGTGACATGATGAGTCATGCCACATTAATATTTGTACCAATACCACAGGGCGTGACACCAACCGTTTATAAAGATTTCAATCGCTTTGGGTGTGAGCGCCGGACACGTTCGTGACTTCAGTGAAAACATTAGCAGCTTGAAATCCTTTTTGTGATGAAATGATAAATCAATTTAAAGGATGGAAACCTTCAAGCCAATATTTTACTTACATTTTATGGTACTCTTCTACGGGGTCATTTCCTACGCACATTGCTAATCACCCCCACCCTATCACGTGATCAAACTAAAACTCGCTTCACAAATCGCTCAAAGCTCCTTTGCTGCTTGATCGACAGCTGTAAGGATTTTATTTTAATAATATTGCTGGCAGTAATAATTCAGCTTATTTGTTTATATATATAGAAATTATTCCATCATTCACTTTACTGGTTATTTTAGTGACGATGTCTTGGTGTCCACCTTGACCTTATACTGGGTAAAAATATTACCCGAAAGAATGTTATTGAACGGAAACTATCAACAGCATTTATAAAAAATGAACCCAGAGACTATCAAACCGACACAAATGTTAAATAAATATATGTGAAAATGTTGAATTTKAAACTGTTCTTCAGCAAACATAAAAGCTGGATACTAAGCTTTACCGTCGCTCAAACAGCTGTTCATTAATTGCCAAAATGTTGTCCCAAAAATAGATCTTTAGCAATTTTACAAGAATCATTCAGATATATAAAGAGAAAGGGTCTACAAATGTATTTTATTCTCCTCCATAGAAAGCGGTGATTATATTTTTACTATATAACGATAACGTCTGTTATAATTTCTTCTTTTATTCCTCATATTATGGGTTGTAACTATTCAGTTTCTTGATAAGATGTGACTTGAATCGTGAATCTTGAAGAAGTAAAAAACAACTCTCATGAACATTTAAGAATATTTGATATGCACTAATAGTTATTAATAATTCATAGAATATATAGTAATTAATTGCAATTAATTTTGTTCTCGTCCGATCAACAAATACGTTTTGCCCATACTATACCAGGTTATAACCAAWAGCTGTAATTGTTGTATCGAATCAACTCGAATCATATCCAGTTGTTTCTCATTCATTTGGCGCGGTTTATGTTTTTATGCAGTGAATTGTCAAAATCATTTCATTTTTACAACCGTGTGTCTAAGTTCTTTCCTTGGGAATATATTAATCACAAGTTTAGTCCAATTCTAGAATGTTGAAGTTTTTATTCTATTGAGCGCTCATCCAGCAAGTCTGATTAGCAGAAAGAATCCGTTGTTTTTGGTGATTTAATGATACTCCCCGTAAACGTATTTAAATCAGCACATTTTTTCGCATAAAGGCTTATTTACAATTCATCTTAATAAAATATGTACGAACCGCARTGTAAATCGTAAAGTTTTTCTAATAAAGTTGATGCATGATTACTTGATGTTAGAGATTGAAGGGTCGATATAKCGAGCAGTGATTCTAGTCGAGTATCGGGACCGAATGCTTGAATTGTTATTCATAGAGGATATATGGTTTACTTTTTAKGTTTATTGACATTTTTTGAACTATTTTGTCTATTGCCTGGTGAGATTTTCTAAAGAAAAAAAATAAACAATATTATAACAGTYCCTGAAACAAGCCTGCTTGATTTCATCCAAATATCATGTAAGTCTTCTTTTCCTTAATGAATCTTTATCCATTCTTTGTATRTTATTTCAGTTTTATCTCATCAATTAATATCTCTGTGCTTATTTTAGTATTTGCAATTATAACTTTCAAAACTTTTGTGAATTGTATCAATTCTTTGCATGCTGTTGTACAGTATGTTGTTGTTTTTTTCACTCACCAATTTGTGTTCCTTTAGTACTTTCATTTTAGAGTAATAAGTCTAATAATAGTATGTAAGTTTTATTTCTTCTTGATTGAAGAAGTTTTAAATATATTTGATTGATCACCATAGCAGCATCTCCACATGATAATTGGACAGCATTACTAAGCCACGCATCTTATTTTCATAAGTTGGTATCTTTTATGGTTCGTTTATGAGAAAGTCGTTATAATTAATCAAGCTGAAAGACTGTTTAAAAGAAATAAGTCAAAAGGACTTGTTGGTTCCAAGGCCATCACTGTAAATCTATATACTTAGCCTCCGTTTAATTTTACAAATCCCCAGCATGAACAGTCATGAACTTCTTTCAAATTTATGATAAAGCTGTATTGTGCATGCATAAATAGAACTTTAAGCAGCCTGCCCAAGATATTAACGGCATTATATTGTACACATTGAGATAACTTTGTTAAAACACTCTCTCAAAGTTCAAATCGTATCGTTTAATATCGACACTATAAATAGCTAACAGTTCGAAAAAGCAGTCGATGAAGCGTCGAAAACCAAAAATTTAATCTCACTATTGTACATCATAATATGCCATAAAGCGTTTATGACTAAATTCAGGGTCATTATTTATTATAATTATTCCAACATTTCAGTGGTCAGTATTTCTGAAATGTGAAGTAACTCCAACTAATTCATCACTCTGTGGCCATAATCAAACAGTACTTTCTTGACTAGTTATAGTATTTGTGACCATTGATGGGCTTCACGAGGCGGCCATGTTTGGTTATAAACTATGTTATTCAAATACTTTAATGAGTTGGGGAGACCACAATGATAACCACTAACCARTAGACCACTTTAAAACCAACCAAAAAACTAGATTTATTGGAGAAACATCTGGAATCATTCAACAATTATGTCTTTACTTTCTTTGCTTTTTCGTTAATCGATGTCCAACCGACCCAAACACATGGAATGATTGGAATCAGATGCCATATGTATTTTGCTGGAAATAATTCCTGATTAACTGAATGTCTGGACCTGCTGAAAACATCTTCCCTCTTAACCTGTTGTCGCGCAGACTACAAATAGTTCTTCATCAGTGGTCGCGTGACGCTTTCCTCCAAACTACTCGTGCTTTGTTTAACCAGGCAGCCAATGCGGACTTTAGGCACGCTTCTAGGATTTAATGTGCATAGATGTATAGAATACAATGATGAAATTAATAGGAATGATAATAATGAAAAAACAACAACAATATTTTAAAATAGTAATTGTACAAGGACACTTGATTACAATGAACTATCAATTATTCATGGTTTTCCTTCATTGTTGGCTCATTTTTTTCTTATCTAACGAAAATTTGAAAAGAAAGATTTCTTATTTGTTTTCCTTTAAGATGGTATTCGGTTGTCCCACGCTGTCCATCATGGTATGGTGACGGAGTCCCGGCGTCTCTTATTATACCTATGTGCAAATCTATTTCAAAAACTGATTTTCTTCAATTTTTTATGGCGTCGATGAATAAAAACAACATTCGCTATCAAGAAAAATAATCGCGTTTTCATCGATTTTCAACTTGTTTGTACCAGGATTTTTCTTTGCTAAATATGAACTCGACTCATTTGATGAATATAGTTCATGTGTTCATCCTAACGATTCATGTAAAAATTAATGTACCATATAAAAATATATAAATAAACCAATAGATAAATATATTAATTAATGAGATCGATAATGGTTAATAGATATATCAATTAAAAATATATAAATAGATATAGATATATCGATGAATTAAAAAAAATGATTCGATAATTATTTAAATAAAAAATGGATGAATCGATCAATCAATAAAGCAAAACAAGAGAAAACAACGAACCTGTCATTATTCTCAGTGGCCGTCGGTGCACTGATATAGCAACTTTCACTCATGTCGGTCACAAAATATCGGCAATCTAGCAATGTTTTAGTGATGTCTTGCAGTGTAAAAGTGCATTAACTCTGGCATTTTTGTCAGTTTAAACCATTTATAAATAAAGGTTTAAGGCTATTAAATCAAGGGTGACGTCATCTAGGRCGTCAACCGCCTAAAAAAACGCCTTCATTACGAGTGCTTGTTTGACAGATAGTAATTTTGTAGTTCTTAGTAAAATTACGAATTATTTGTATTTTACGTTCTGAGTTTTATTTCAACATGTTTTAATTAATACAAGAAAATAGTCACAACATGAGCTCCTCTTGTATTTCAAAAATATCACTACTTCTCATTTAATCATAGGTTATAAACCATGTCTTATTTAAACATGGCTGATTATGATAATCACTAGTTGAAATTCTTTGTATAATGTCTTACGCACGTTTGGTTTGAGTTCGTTATTATGTAAACAACTGGTTGTCTTAAAGTGTTTGTAAATATGCCTCGTCGAATTAGACGAATTGTGGCTTATGTTAATGATTACACTTCAAGTTTCTATGGCATTCGTTTAATTTCATTATCATCGAACCTGAAGCTAGAGTCCTGTGCTAATGAAAAAGGCGAACGTTTTTATTTGAACCATAATTATTTCTTAGAACTCGATTCAGATGTCGGTATTTTYATCCCTTGGATTTAATTTAGTATTAAAAGTTAGTTTAGTGTCAAAGTTGGATGTTGTAGTATTTGTGTTAATGGTATGACTAGACTAGGACACCTCTCGTTTGCTAGTCATGATTACCTCGTCCATTGTCCTATCAAACAGTTCCAGTGGTAGAATAAAATTGCAAACAGTGTTATTATTGGAATCGTAAACAATAGTAGACAACTGGGGCTAAGAGAATACAGTTCTGAACTGAGAAAACTGTCTTTTGATCTTTGTATTAACTGTTAACATTAACTCAAATAGGACTATGCTTGTGGAGGGCAGGGAAAAAACCGCGAAAAGCGACTCTGGAGCAGCGAAACAAGCTCCGAGCAGCTACAATGTTGTTACAAGAAGAAATCATTGAAAAAAGAAAAACCAATGGAGCTGAAGGAGGATAGGTAAGAACTATGACAGATGAACATTAACTTGAGCGATTTTACTTCTCTGCTACAAGGATTCTCTCTTTTTCTATCAATCTTTTTTTTTCATTTACTTGTTTGCAGTTGATCAAAGTTAAATAGCCGTTAAAGGAGATTATTAATGTCAACAAACAAGAATCTTATTCACTTTTCACATATCATTCTTTTAAAACAAGAACTCGCAAAGATCGGTTGATCACAGAAAAACAGTATTCTGTAAACTATTACTTGCTATATAATGTAATCTTTATTTCTCCAAATTTCAACCTCTCTGAATTTTTGTTACAATTAATTCGAGAAAACGTCGCTTAATTTTAATTTTTCCATTTTACCTCATTCCCACTCTTTCTATTTTTTTAAATGATTCGAATTTTCGAAAGCGATGTCACTGAAGTGACTATGTAAAAAGTAGTTATGAATCGAATTGGTGTGTTGTTTATGTTTGAACATGTTTTTGATAAATTTTAATAGGAATCAGTCGACATCTTTTTGTGTAATTAACTATGGCGGAGTCAAATCACTCAGCTTTTCACACGAGTTCTAATGAACTGGTTAGAAGACTTATTCGCACTGACTTGACTGAAAATCGTGTGATTGGCTTGCGATTTAAAGCGATTTCTGTTGATATAAAACACAACTATAACAAAGTGAGTTATCCATGTTTATATTAAACAAATATAAGTACTAGTTTAAATACTCCACCGAAAAGCAACGTAAATATTGACAATCGAGAACAAATTCTCTCTGACAGAAGGAATGTTCACACAGTTTGTGTACTTATTCATCTTTTCTGATAGTTTTTGCCATGTCATAACACCAACCCCTCTTCGCATTGAGCTGGTTTTTAAAGGTATCTTTGTGCCAAGTGTAATGAGTTGGGTGATGGCCCGAGAATGAGCTCATCCCTCACGCCATGTTTGTATGCACATCAAAGAAATACTAATCGGCGTTATGGTTTCATCATGTGACTCGAGGTTTTATCACGTGATTAAGTGGGCCAATCACAGACATTAAATGGGTGTATGTTTTTGTTTGAAATCACATTGGATAGTCGGCACGCGCTAAAGAGATACAAAATAAATGCGAAATTCTAACAGTCTTTGAATTAATACAATTGATTTTTCATTAATTTTCGTATTAGCATTTTCAATCGAAAATTTCTATTTACCATTTTTAATTCGAAATTTTTACGCGTTGCTTACTCGTCCAAGCACCAACTTCACTCACTCTCCGTGGGCCAGCCACAAATATTTAGCATTTCTCGCTCAAAGTTATCCGAGGCCGTTTGAAATGAAAACTCAGGGCAAATTAGCCAATGAGAAAGTCCCTTCTCCAGGTGACGTCCAGCAAGAGCCATCCCAGGATGCCGCGCGCGCTATACCGGTACTCAGCCAGGTGTTGGTATATTTTTAATGAATCCATGTTTATCAGCTCCATCGTCATGGCGAATCCTTGTTTTTGCASCAGTTTTCTGATTTCTTGAAACGTGTTTTTCGGGAAAATGTTCATTTTGATAAGGCCATAAGCTCAAGTGAATGTTCTATCTGTTTGAGTTGTCATTTGGCGGAAGACTCTAAGTCAATCGGACTTCTATAGTGGACTTCAAATGTTATGTGCCTTGGTGGCGCAGGTGACCTTACACGAAGAAATTCACTTGCAGCATCCAAGTAAACATGATAGCAGCCCAGGCTGCCGCACGGGCCCATCATCTCAAGGCAGCCGAACATGACAGAATTTCAAGGGAAGAAAGCTTTCGCCGTTCGCAACTTATCCTTCCGGATGACAGCGAAAAGGAGGCCGATGAATATGTTGAAGAGGAGCCCCTTATAGTTGTGCCCGACCATTTATTAGGTGTACCCCTAAAAGATCGTGATTGTGACCAACAGGAAGCCCAGGTAAGCCCGGACAATGCAATAAAATCGTTGATTTAGCGTGCTTCTACAGCGACGCTTCGTGATATTGTCATACGAACATCACCTTCACTATTTCCTGACCATACTTGGTTGTTTGGCGCGGTTAGGCAGGAGAATCCATTTTTGCATACATACATACATGTATGCTTGTATGCGTTGATTCCAACGTTAGGGCCGAATTCCAGCGTATTTCATGAACTTCGTCTCGACGGGCATTAAAATCGTTAAAGCAACTTGTCAAATTTGATTGTAATTTAAGGTGAATGAGGATTTTCCTTGGCAAAGTTGGACGGTAGATTCCGTACATTCAATACTAGCATAGGTTTAAATATTTAACCATCTTTGGTTCAGAGTCGCGGCTTCGACATTTCAATCAACTTCCCGTTTTTTAAACTCTGATTTCTCGGCATATAGTCGTGAAAATAATTTGAAAGCGTTAGAATGGCGTGTGTTTGGATACTAGTTGCTCGTAAATACAATGAACTTACATCGCATACTACGCCAAACTTGAATATCTTTCTGAATAATTCGTAAGGTGAAAGTCTCAATTTTTCCATACAGTTACTCCACATGTCAGATGAAATCTTTTTCTGAGACTTAAAAATGCATCTTAAATCATCTTTTTTGAAATATTGTATTATTGAAGTGCTTGGTCGACCGGCGTTCTCATCTAACGACAAAAATATCACAGCGAAATTAATTTAGATTTCAAAGGGAGCATAAGAGATGAATCATTGTGACTAAAGATTCTTGTGTATATACGAATATTTTGTACTAAATAAGTAGGTGAGATCTTCTTTTTTATTCAAAGTTGATAGTATTGACTACGTTAAGTTTTCTATAAATATATTCGGTATTGTTATATATATATATATGTATATGTCGATGTATCGTCTGCAATGGTTATTATTCGAGTGAAAACTATTTGTATCTATAATTCTCTCTAGTATTCTTTTAAAATTGCTCAATTTCGAAGGGTTATTGGCGTCTACCTATTAGTCATGATAGACGAACTCGTTCATGTAAATACGAATTGTGTAGATTGTGGCTGACTATTTAGCATATCGCTTTATTGACAGTGACGGACGGTTCGTTTTCACCTCGTCGTCGATTGAATGTTTTGTTCACTAGTATTTGGCTTGTGTGTGCTTTTGACTTTATTTTCTCAACGCTAGCCTGATTACTTGTTGTGGTTGAGAATCTTGATAGAAAGTCAGGTGATTTCGTTACTGAGGTGCAAGTTTTGGCAGAGTACATCTCTGACTTTTTCATGTCATTGAATTGGCGAATTGCAGACAAGTGTCGAGTGTATTTTTTTGTATTTTCGTTTAATTGCAAATGGTAGTGGGTTGTAGGCTTGCTGCATCAAACAGTCTTAACCGAACCGCAGTCCATGTTTAATATTCATAAGGTTGTTATCACAAGTCTTTTTTAAGAGTAAAATTAGTGATTTCCGTGGAATATCTTCAGTTAAGGTGATACTAAAAGTTTTGTGCTCTTGCTGGATTTACTAGAGTAGTTTCTCCTAACGAGTGATACCAGCTGTAATATCTACGACAAACGTTGGAGCGTGTGTCTGAATGAAAAGTCTTCTCGACGGCGTTTTTGGGGGGGTTGGGGTGACAAGCATGTCCTGTTGAAATTCAATTATTTGTCCGGAAAAAGTCTTTCAAAAAGAAAACGAACTAGGTGAGAGATTCTTGCGGCTCGTTTCTCTTGCATTCCTTAGAATAACGAGTCGCTTTAAAGCTTATATCAACCTGTTATTTTCTGATTTGAAGGAACGGGTACCCGCTCTGGAATTCCATAGGTTCTTGTATTTCTAAGCAAACCCGATTCATTGCTAGCGTTCAAAGCCATCCCACAGGACGAACTCAAAACTTTTCGTTTTGACCGTCAATTTGTGAAAATTGCGGAATATAGGGAGTTGAGAAGCTGGCGGTCTGCGAGAGAGCTAGCCCACATGAAATATTGATGACATCAACGTTCCTTGTCAAAAGCAGATTTACATATTATCATTTATTGATAAGGTTCTATTGTACTCATTTGTTCGATTGATGCAATATTCAAATTTTGTTGCTTGAAAAAGTAAAGTAATTTTATCTCAAGTTCTCTCAGAATCGACTCCACTTAACAAAAGTGAGTCATTACGTTGTTTTGTGGGTTTGGGTTGGTTGAGTGACGTGAAAGTCGATAGCACGTTTTCTCGTATAGTTAGTGCTTTCTTAACAGTCAAAAGAAATGTAAGGCAATGTCTTGATATGATAAAGGCTTGCTTCCAATCAATCGCTTTGTCCAAGTCTACTTAATGTAGTTTTAGATAAGATTTTTTTTTAAGTTTCAACTTTTTGGACGGCCATGAGAGTTGTAGTTCACTGGTTACCAAGGGGGCTAGTCAGCATGATGTTTCTAACGAGCAGGCAAAAACACTATTTAGGACACTTAATACAAACTCATAGAATTTCCATGCAAACCTCTTATAACGCCAGAAAACCCTTGCCATTCATAGAGCTTAACTAAAGTGAAGTTTATAAACATGATTTTATAATATTTTTATTTGACTATAAAGCAAACAGACTGTTCTTATTCTATCATTTTTAATTTGAAAACTTGAATCATAATGTGGTGCCCGAGACGCCTGATAAATTTTCAATTTGTATATAAGTAGAATTTATTCCAGCGCAATGATAAAAATACCAAAATTTTGTAAGTGTTTTTGTGTGTGTAGTCTCGCTTCACACCTGTTCAGTCTTGTTTTGCCTGCACTGACAAAGCAGGATAGTCAACTGAGCTTCAAAATGCTCTCATCAGTACTATGACCCCCTAGTCGGTCCATATTTCTCATAAAATAGACTCGAGTATTGTGAAGATAAGGACATGCTGTGGACCAATGTCCCCAACGCTTTGCTTGTTATCTTGTATTACTGTCAACTATCACCAAAATACTCCTTATCAAACGGACGGCAGAATTGATTATCTAAATCTCCAAGGTTTTCTCTCTGCTACCACTGCAGTGTACAACCTGTCAAATTGAAAGTTCATTTAGAAAAGCAGGTAGAAAATGGGTTTTCTTGTTCAAACAACTCCAAGAGGTAGATGAGCGAATTTGATTTGGATATATTTGGTTTTCAATAGCTCAATGGCTTATACGAATCAAACGCGAGTTGTTTTAATTAACTTTAGGCGAGTCGCAGGCTTCCATCAATGTCGATTTCTTTCTGAAATACTTCATCACGTGTGTATGTTCACTATCATTTTCCGCTATGCTTTTCTTTTTCATCTATTTTAATTTATTTTATTGATTTTTCTGACTGGACTAATGAAATTCATCAAAGCAATGAACTTTTGGTAGATTAGAAAGTAATTCAAATTGGCTTCTTGATTTTACATTTTGTTCTTTTTTCGATTAGTATTTTTTATCGTCTATTGTTCTATCTTAGTCAAGTACTAAGATCCCAAATCATAGCTCATCTATTACTGATATTTAACGAACGCTTATTTTTGTATTCTTACTTAGTTTGCGTGCAATTCGTAGAGATTTCAATCTTTGAGACCAAGTAGTTAGTTTAAACCCCCTTTCTCCTTGATTTCCTCCAACGAGCGGGAACTAGTTCAAGTACTGCGGTGTAACTTCACGCAACGGGAAAGCGAGATATTCATGTTTTTCGCTAGAAAATTCTATCGTTATCTGGAGCGCATAAGCAGCACTACTGGCTAGACTGCAAATTAGCTTGGCGATTCTTTTATTAGAAGCTTCCCGTTCCGGCCTGTAATTGGGTTGCAAACCTAATATTCTCATACACGTTCATCGTACGCTAGATTTACTAATCGAATACAAATTGTAAAGTATTTTGCGCATGTCTGCAAATCGTTCACTTCTCGACACACATTCCTAGAAAGTAGCCGGTTTGTCTGCTACTAAATCATGACTTAAAAGGAAAGAAATCAAAAAAGAGAATAATCTGTCTAGTCGACAAAAAGGCTGTCAAACGTGTTCAATGAGAAGATTTCATAACTTAGCGCACTTTGACAGACTTCCGATTTCGTGTTATTCAAATCATTAAACCTGCAAACACAAACCTGACTGTAGACTGTCATGACAAAAAGTATGGCTACGACTTATTGCAAACTTGTTGGMAAAAAAGTGATCCCGGAACAATCTCCAAGGGTTCACTAAATATACATCTATTTTTCAAATCTATTTCTACCTAACGACTGTTACGTTCTGATCTCATAGATCACGTGAGCTGACGTCATGTTTGTCATTAAGAGGTCTCGTGGATTTTAGATTGCACGATAAAGTSCTTATGATTAACGCACTTGGCTGATATTTCTTGTTTTAAGATTGCTTTCTTGTGTTTAGTTTTATATAAAAATTATGACTTCCACCAATAAAAAAGGCAGTGTATTTGTTCCGATGTTTTTTGGGGGGTGTTTTCGCATTGGCTGGTTCATGTATGTAGTATTTGTAATGTAATTTGCAAGTAGTTTTTTTATTTGCTTTATTCTTATAAATTTTGGCTGTTATTCTAGGAATAACCCGTTCGTGTGATCAATTAAACATGTGCTAAGAATACCTTATTTATGTAAATTTCGACCAGTTTTGTTGTCATTGTAATAAATATTACAACACATAAAGTAGAAACACCCAGTCGAAGACACGAATCTCAACAAAATAAAACCAAGAAGATGTACTTCTAATAAAACAATTAGATTTATCAGCTTAAATCGCTTACATGAGGAAAAAATGGCATCATAATGGTATTATTTCCTCTCTAAGATTGCAGGTTTTTGTCAAATATGAATAATATCTCTTATAGTCACTTGATGTAGACCAGTTCAATATAGACTAATCACTATTTCCCGATGCGGCTTGTCAAATGAAAAGCACGCGTTTCTTCGTTGCCTTGTGTTATTTAAATTTGGATGCGAGAACAAAGCTATCGAAATGTTTCAAAATTCTCTTAAAAACCATATTGCATTCAAATATTGAATTTGAATCTTGACTTTTTTTGTACGTCAATTGTTTTTCTATCGCTATATTTAATAACGTTTGCCTGTTACTCTAAATCCTAATTCAATTCGATTCTAATTTTATGATGTTTTTACAAGACTCACAACAATTAGTTTATGTTAATGCTGCCGCTATGTAAGACATTGCTTTTTATTTTCAACAGTATATTTTGTGTGCTGAGTTGAAGTTAAGAATAAAGCGAAATGTTAGATGCACCAGCAAAATTGAACAAGAGGAAATCACTTCTCAACTCTGCTAGTATTGAATGAAGTAAATAAAAAAAAGAAAACAAGCAAACCATACAACAAGAGCAGTCATAAAGGTCGCTCAAAAAACATCTCATTTCACTCACTATACGACCCAAAACATTGTCAGACTGTTTTAGCCTTGAGGTGTTTTTGTCTTTTATATTTTTCAAGATTATTCCGTATAAAATCTAATCAAAACTTGTTTAAAATCCCAAATGGCTTGGTTAATTAAGCAACTATAGTGTTATCTAAAAGGTCTAGAAAGATCGAATTAATTTTTAGTGTATTGCGTGACTAASAGTTCAATAGTATCGTTTAGTCTTCAGGCAAAATTGTAACATATCACAACGAGATTATTTATTTGCAGAGTATAACATGAGATTATATTGTCTGACTTATGAACAGTCCCTTACGACTAAGTAAAACACTCACTTATTGAACTTATAGATTTTGAATAAATTTGCATGAAAAAGAAAGTGTTATGAAAAGCGCGTACAAAAGTGCATTTAAAAGTTGTCCAAGTAATAAGGCACGTCCACATTCTGTTAGTGTCTAGAATGCCAGGTGTGTTTAGTCTAGAAATGGCAATTTTACAATGCTMTATGGACATTACATGCAGAAACTGAACATATATCAAGAGATGTGACAATTGGAAATGTCTTTTAAGATGGACAGTCTTTTTAAGATTGACCGTATATCATATTAGACAAGCCCAGGAGGTGCAAAATAACTCGCGCATAGCTTGTGATTTACGCTGGAAGAAAATGTTAAGAAAGTTAAAAATAATAGCTTGTTGATTCTTGGATTCTCTTGCCGGATCATCGTATTCTAAAGTTTTGCAATCACTGATTGCACGTGAGGAACATGAATCAAGCTCAGTTATTAGTTATTGATTGATATTTTTCTCTTTCAGACCTTTCTCGTTGTAGCAAGAAAGTTTGGCAAATACTGCATATATCGGTTTCACGCGTCCAAATCGCTGTACATATTCAGTCCTAGAAATCGACTAAGAAGATTTGTAATTTTTCTAATAACTCATCAGTATCCTTTTTATTGACTTGTTGGAATATGCAGATGATAGCAATGATGAAGGATGTATATATGATATGATGGTGATGATAGCAATGATGAAGAGTGTATATATGATATGATGGTGATGATAGCAATGATGAAGGGTGTATATATGATATGATGGTGATGATAGCAATGATGAAGGGTGTATATATGATTTGATTGTGATGATAAGGATGGCATATGTTGTGTTCATAGGGTTGACTAGCATTCATTGTCAGCTTTGGTCATGTGTTTTACACTTAAATTAGCAGTAAAGAAGTCCTCATATAAAAGCTCTGTGTTATACCTCATTCAAAACGAAATGAAACAAAGCCATTTAAGTGTTGACGAATTAGAGCCATTGGACGATCTCCTAGGTACCTACAAATGAGAAACATTGAATACAGTGCGCAATGTTAAGGACGTACATTTTATTTGGACATAATGTTCTAAGCATCATCAATTAATAATAAAAACCGCATGTCCTAAAAGATGCAAAACAGCAAAATATATGACTTCCGGGTTGCTAAGACAACTGTCTTTTCAAATTACACATTAATTATTTTAACCATGGACATGCATTCAGTTTMTTTTTATTTTGTGAAATTAACTTCGTTCTAATGTTTTTGTATTACCTGCAATTGGTTAAAAATAATCGGTTTTCAATACCAAACAGTTGAATGCAGATTAAGAAAAAAATAACCGAATAATAGAAAGCGCAACAAAAAGACAATTTTTTGCGATCGGCTGGAGAGCAAATTCATACATGAATGAATTCGAAGATTGAAAAGAAATGATCAAAAGTCCTCAGTTAAGCTGATTCGAAAAGGCAATCGATTTTCGCGATCTTGGCCACGTTATTTAAAACCTTTCGAATGTTTGATCAACCGTGTTTGTTACGTCAAAAAAGCCAATAAATTCATACGATGTTCTTTCATTATACCGTGTTGTAACTGGGATGAATAATCAAACGAAACATAGTTAATGGAATTTTATTTGTATTCATATTGATAAAAACTGGTGCACAGACGAAAATACAATGGTTAGGTCCATGCAGATCAATCCTCTATTATGGCTCTTTCTCTCAAGGTGGATGTGATGATAATATAATCTTTTCATGCTAATTAATAGAACGACTGTTTTCTCCAAGGTAACAAAACTGAGCACTTGGGAATTATAAACAGACTGATGTCTTGAAATGGAAGAAACAGTCACGAGATTTGCATGTCGCTAGTTTTCAGGGCTTTCTGGCCTTTGGATGCAACAGAACTATCCTTCATTAATTAGATTTCTTTTAAAAATATATTGCTCGTCTAATTCATCGAAGAGAAAATTGATTTTTTAGACTAGAAGTGCTTTCATTGATTAATTTTTGCTCTTTTGGCCAATAATTGTAAGTTTTTATATTATAGAGATGGCAGGTGATTTGTCTATTTGCCTAATATTTTATTATCTTTATGAAAGGAACGTAAAATCCATTTGCTCTTTTCAAAAATTATTTAGATGGTAAAACGAATGATTCAGCAAGTATGATCTTCTGCATTATTTACTTGTTTCATTATTTCTCTCTTTTGATGATGTGCTTTGCCAAAAGGTCCATTCTGTGGCATTTTCTACTCTTTCTTTCAAATATTTGTAGAAAATAGCTTTGTTTTGACCGCAAAATGCTTTTCTGTTTCACTGGACGAGGATTTATGCTCGAAAAGGTATCATTTTGCGTCAGCGCTCAACGTTGTGGTTTGAAAATGAATAGAATCACTTTGCTTTCACTTAATCTATGTTATTGAAACTGTTTTTTGGGGGTTTGAGGCGCGAATCAAAATGTGTTGTTATCATTGCGGTATGGTCAGGGACGATATGAACCGAAAATATGCCATCTGCATKTAAAAAATGGATTTTTTTACATTACAAATGATTATTATAAGAAAATCGTTGCTCGCTTTCTTTTTAACTGGACTGAACTGAATCATTAGGACATGTTGGCTATTTATAGAAACAGTACTTTAATTTATATCTTCCTTGCTTAAATCTACAAATAGTGAATGCGTTTCATCGACAGTTGCGAAAAAAGACTGATTGGACGCATTTTCACAATTACTAGAAAGCCTCAGAATTTAATAAGCTTATATCATAAATGTCAGTAATATTGTATTATTCATTCCTTACAAAGGTTATATGTTGTCTTTTTTTATTTGCTCAGTTAATGTCTTTTGGTGTTCTAACAGGATTTTTATGACAAACGAAAAGGAGACGTTTCCATTAATAATCGTTTTATTTTAGGCTGTGCGGCACTTAATGGTTTCACTTAAATGGCTTTTTTTTTCAAAAGTATACAATGGATTGATTAGCGACTGAAGTGGCTTTGTGTTACTTGAGATTAAGAAATAGCATCTAGTCATATTTATGCGTATCATCCTTAACCGATATGTAGATATTTTGAAATTATTATTTTATTAACAATTTTAACCAATTGCGTTTTTCTTGCAATTAATGATCCTCCCGAGGAGCCCGAGTAAGTACTTGCTATTTCTTTTGTTTGCTATTTTGCTCGTCCCAGATCTCCTCGAGGAGTCAGTTTTGATTTCTGTACAAAGAAACTGGTACGAGTTACTATACGATACTTGTGCGCATGATTGTGCGATGTGCTCCTATTTCAAAATTACCTTCTCTCGTGGACACAGGTGAAAAACGCACTGCGCATGTCCACAGCTTTCCCGCCAGTGAGCACGCGCGTCTTGAAATCTGTAAACAGAGTGCCTGGCGATTTACAGCGACAACACAGAAAACACTACGAAAAACTTCATTTTCTCAAAATAGAAATGACAAGATAAAAATAGAAACTACATACTAAAAGGACCTATCATGAACAATGATTGATGGAAATATGAATCTTATATATCGGTGAACGAGCTTATAAATTGTAAAAAACTTTCACAAAATTCGCTTTACAAAGAAAATTAGGGAGATTTCAGCGGGAGAGCTGTGGACATGCGCAGTGCGTTTTTTTCGATGTAATAGCCGTTGACACAGTCTTTTGTCTTTAGTTATATGATTCCATATTCTGACATATGATCGTGAGTAATTAGACAACACTACATCAATATATAATAAATACTTCCTTGTGTTTCTAGGTATGTCTTCGCGGCCATCTACACGGCGGAAATGATTCTTAAAATCATTGGCAGAGGCTTTGCCCTCCATAAATATGCCTATCTCAGGAATGCCTGGAATTGGCTCGATTTTTCAGTAGTTATATTAGGGTATGTCATTAAGTTGTATTTTTTAGTAATAACAATATTTTGATATTTCTTTGCTGTTGTTCCAGGTATGTAACAATGTTACCGGGTGTAGCAAATTTGTCAGGAATGAGAACTTTTCGAGTATTGCGAGCGTTGCGGACGATATCATCGGTAAAAGGTAAACGTGACTACAAATGCATTATATCATTGTACTTTTAATACCACAATCCTTTTCAACTAACGTGGTTTTCCGCGTCCTTAGTAAAGCAGTGATAATTGTTATAATCAAAGTTAAAGTGAACAAGTTGACTGGTGTTTTTCAGCAAAAAATATTTTGTTCAAAAGGATTCCGGACATAGATGTAGAGGGAAAGATCTGTAATTCATTGAGATCAGTAAATGTCCAAGAATTAAGTAATTCGCGCGTGTTCGATTTCCAGCCWATATGATTCCGTGAACATTGGTTTATTTGTTGCAGGTTTAAAGGCTATGGTCAACACGCTTCTCAAATCGATAATGATGTTATCTGATGTACTTATATTGACTACTTTCTTCTTATGTGTTTTCGCTCTTATCGGTCTACAATTCTTTGCTGGTATCATGACTCATCGATGTGTCCGTGATTATGATCCTGCTAGCAATATATCATACGTTGATTATTGCACCAATGAGTGTAAGTATACCATTCTAACAATAGTCAAACTAATCGTCCTTTGCATATGGGGTCGATATGTCCAGGCATTTTACGAGTTCACGAGTCTGATATTTACTTCTTTTCTTTAGCAAACCATTACATTTTTAAAGGAGACAATTTTGCTGTTCTTTGCGGAAATGAAAGCGCAGCATAGTAAGTTTTATCTAAACCCCAGACTTATGGTCATCATAGATAATATATTTATCTTTTTTCCTTCTATTATTCATGTGTGGAAATAAATATTGTATTGTGTCGTATCATTGTCAACATAGTGGCCATTGTCAGCGGCACTGCCGTTCAGTTATCATTATTGTACTGTTTTCCTGTACAGTTATCATTATTGTACTGTTTTCCTGTACAGTTATCATTATTGTACTGTTTTCCTGTACAGTTATCATTATTGTACTGTTTTCCTGTGCAGTAACTGCCCGAACAACTATTCCTGTTTACCCGACTCTGGTCCAAATCCTATATCACAGTATATTAGCTACGAGAACTTCGGTTGGTCTCTGCTAACATCCATTCAGCTTGTTACAATGGACTACTGGGAAAGTATCTATAATAGTGTAAGTTGTCTTTTTTTTATGACTGTCATGACATTTTATGTATTATGTAAATTACACTGAATTGTCTGATAAACGAATCTTGATATCTTGCGTTTTCAATGGTTAACTTGAAGTTTGTTCGTTTCTTTGCTCAGGTCATAGCTGTCAAAGGCCCGCTTTATGTTTTTTACTTCTTGTTTGTTATATTTCTGGGGCCATTTTATCTCATCAACTTGGTCCTGGCCGTTGTTTCACTCTCGTATGAAATAGAGACTGCGCAAATGCAGGACGACTCTTTGAGAGTAAGTTTTACTATGGAATTAACATAACTGATGCTATGATTGGCTCTTTCCAACAAGAATGCACGCTATYTCATTCCATTGCCTTGCTAAAGCATCAATATTTAATAGATAATTACCTCAGCACGAAACATTCGTAGGTATAATGCAGGCAACTGAGGGCGCAGAGTTTTTTTAGTCTTTAATTTATTTATCTGAACACAATAACTTTATAAACCGTCACAAAATAGCCTGCGTAGTGGTTAGAATCAACAAAAACATGCAAAATTGTGCCAAATTATAAATTCAAAACCATATGAGCATGCGTTGCCTTTTCAGTATATGGAACATAATGTCCCACATGCTGGCTAACATGTTCCTTGTCTGCATTCGTTGATCTAATRCAGAGGGAAAACAATGGGTTACCATCGATATCAGTAATTATTATATGTTACTTTCAAGTACTGTCTATGGTTATTTTGCAWTAACCATAATAGCTGTGATTCACATTATTCTACAGGCTGCAGCTTATGCTAAACTAAAGCGATCAGCCTCGTCATACTCTTTTGATGGCTCATCACCTATAGAACCAATTTATGAAGAAGACAATCTTCCCAGTCTCCCAGTCGAGGAGATCGCAAGTGAACATTTCACTGTTGAGAGCAGTAGTCACACAGCAATAGATGATTTAGATTCCGTTGATCTGACGTCATTGCAAAGGATGCGTCGAAAAGTTAAAAGGCTGGTTTGTAACTCCATCTTTGAGACGTTCATCACATTGTGTATTTTATTCAACACTTTGGCAATGGCTTGCGAACATCACGAAATGAACCCTACTTTCGCTAAAGTACTGGAAGTCTTTAACTACGTAAGTGATTAAGTAAGAGATAAATACCGAGAACGGAGGCAATAAGCCATATAAAGCACGAGGGGCCGTAGGCCCCGAGGGCTTTATAGGCTTATTGCCGACGTTCGAGGTATTTATCTGACTTATTTCATACTTGAAGAAGTTTTCCAAGCACTGCATTAATATTTTCATTTTTAAATAGGCAAAGAAGCCGTTTTCATATGAATTAAAAACCAAAACCTCGATTAGAAAGGTTACGANGTACGAGCTAGGTTTTCCAGGGACTCAGTGTTTCATATATTTCTTACAATTTTTAATTGATTGTTTTGATAGATCTTTACTGCTGTGTTCTTCTTTGAGATGGTGCTCAAGCTAACAGCATTTGGTTTAAAAGAATACTGCAAAAACCGGTGGAACTTGTTCGATGGAACGATCGTTATCCTAAGTTTAGCTGATATGGTTCTCACGCACTCTGGTGCAATTTCTGGTGCCGGTCTTAGTGTCTTGAGAACATTTCGATTGGTGAGTACTGCAAGTTGTGTCATATTGGTCGTGCGTTTGATCGGGTTTATGTTTACTATAACTGATTAATGGGTTTATTAATTTATTTCGAGTCGATTTGATTTGATTGGTTGATTAATAGATTTGAGCTGGTTTGATTGACTAACTAACTAATTGATTTACTGATTGATTAATTGATTGATTGACCTTGACCTTTCCTTTATCCAAAACAAAATTCAAATAACCGGAGCATCATTTATTTCAGCTACGAGTTCTAAAACTTGCACAGTCGTGGAAAACTATGGGAGCACTGCTGAATACGATTGGAAAGAGTGTGGGAGCCGTTGGTAACATCATCGTTATCTTAGGWATCATCGTCTACATGTTTGCAGTTGTTGGGATGCAGATGTTTGGTCCTGATTATACACSCGATAAGTTCGRCGGGAAAATTCCAAGGTGGAATTTTAATGATTTCGGACATTCATTTATGATGATATTCAGAATCTTGTGCGGAAAATGGATCGAGCCATTGTGGGAGACCATGCAAGCTTCTGGGCCAGTTGCTGTGGTTTTTGTATTGCCAGCATTTGTCATCGGTAACTTTGTCATCTTGAATCTTTTTCTTGCATTACTTTTGAACTCATTTGGAGGAGACCTGGGGGGCGACGAGGAAGAAGAAGAGAAAAAGAAGGATAGTGATTCAGATAAGGAAGAGGARACGAAAGAAAAGYCAGAAAAGAAGTCCAGACTAAGTCAGTTGTTTGGAAAGAAAGGTGTTTCAGGAAGTAAAACTAAAGTTGGACCGGATGATGAGGACAACGAAAATAGTGAAATGCTTCGTGCAGACGACGAGGATGAAAATGAGAACAAGAAAGAGGCGGTCAACAATTTGAGCAGCAGTAAAAGTAATGAGGCAATTCATCGGGAAAATGGCTTTGAGATGTCCGACATCAGCAAAGTTGCATTGCATGATGACGAAGGTAGAAAYTTAATTGAGGTGTTTTTTGACTAATGCTACTGAAGTKGTAATTGTAATTGGATTGTTTCCAACAATCTATTTGATGATTGCTGTGTGTTATTTGTTTTCAGACATTTCACAGTCTCTTCGAAATGACAATTGCAAGTCGTTAACCACAATTGTTGATGTTGAGAGAGCAGCCATAAGAATACGAGAAGAACCAAATTCATCCAAGAAAAGCGATGACAAGCTGGAGTCCAACGATGAAAACCTCAGTAATGGCGATCTTGTGGCTAACGGCTCAGCGCCTATAGTTCCAAATGGTAACTCACGACTTTCTGCCAGCTCTGATAGATCACGCAAGGATGTTAGTCTCGGTGATATCGAGTCTCGCATACCAGCGGGAAGTCCCAACCACGACGGAAAACGTGACACAATTGTCACAGTCGATACAGATATTCTAGATAATGAGAATAAAGTTCGTGATTGCTGTCCTTCGTTTTGCTACTGCGAGAGTGTTTGTTGTGAGAGCTATCGGGATTCCTGTATTAGGCGGAGTTGGCATTCGCTGCGTGAAAATGTACTGAGATTTGTGGAACACAAGTACTTTGAGTTATTCATTCTGGTCATGATCGGTGTCAGCAGTTTGACATTGGTAAGTATTGACAACAAATAAATAWAATAGCAAGATTTTGTTATAACAGCTCTAGAGGCCTATACATGGTCTAATATTTATATGTACGAACTATCAACAGAGACAAAGTTCCTCATGATTACATGATTCGTCAGCAAAACAATCGGCTCAAACAATGTTTTTCCAAATTTTGTAACTTGACTTATTAACGTTGTAGGGTCGCATGAAGGTGATATCATCAAAGTTAACTCCGAAGGAAGTTCAGAAATTCAAATAAAATTTACCTACATAATGTTACACTTTAGTTGTTATAAAATAACTCGAAAAGAAGGTCATTCTATTCTTTGCAAGGAATATTTTCGTGGTATTCTTTCCCATGCTTCCTTTCGGTCGTAGCTTTCATGATGTAACCTTTTGAGTTAGGTGTCACCTAACCTGAGTATCAGGCCTTCGAGGGGACCATCTAACGCTCTATTTGACTTTTGGTTTGTGATCAATTGTATTGTTTGTAGGCGTTTGAAGACATCCATATCGACAAGAAGCCCGTCCTCAAAGACATAATCGAGTTTCTCAATTTCACATTTGCCGTGACATTCACTATAGAGATGTTATTGAAAATGCTTGCGTTTGGAATCGTTGGTTATTTCACCAACCTTTGGAACTGTCTTGATTCATTCATTGTTGCGGTAAGATAAAGCAATCACTAAAGTGCGATCCTAGTGTTTACCTAGATTGGAACATTTGTGATTCTATCAAATTGTTTTTCAGATTTCTCTGGCAAGTATCTCTGGAAATGAAAACTTGAATGCGTTCCGCTCCCTTCGAGCATTAAGACCTCTCAGAGCTATTTCACGATTCGAGGGAATGAAGGTACGTAAAACTATATTTTGAAGTATATCACTTTGATTGTTATATTGTAGTAAATTGTTTTTATTCAGATTGTTGTCAACTCTCTGGTACATGCCGTACCAGCCATTTCCAATGTCTTGCTGGTGTGTATGATCTTCTGGTTAATCTTCTCCATTATTGGTTTCCAACTGTTCGGTGGCAAGTTTTTCAAGTGTGTCGATGCTGATGGTGAAAAATACAGTCATTTGGTGGTCCCTAATAAGTAAGAAGTGGTTTCTTCTTTGTCATTTTTTCTGTGTAAATATCATTCTTACTTGAACTTTCAACTTGATTGACACGWGCAACCAACCACGTAACTCTCTGATGGCTTTCTCCTGTTTCAATCTCATATTGATTTCTTTCTGTAAAGATCTTCTCTCATCTCTTCTTGTCATAATTGTACTTCTATTCGACAGGACTGTATGCTTAAGCCTAAAAGATCAAGGAGCCCGCTGGCAAAACTCTAAAGTCAACTTTGATAATTCTCTCAATGGTTTCCTAGCCTTGTTCCAAGTGGTATGTTCCTTGTGTTTTCACTGTTGCTGTCAGACACCTGGCTCTGTTGTTTTTTGAAATTTATGTGTCTTTTTTAGGCCACTTTGGAAGGAGTATTCGAGGTCATGTACGATTCAGTGGACTCAGTAGGTGTAAGTATCATAAAAAACACGAGATATTGCGTAAATCAGATCTTGGTAGGCTGTGATGGATACTCAACATTTTTGTTTTGTTGTTGTTTGTTGTTGTTTGTTGTTGTTTGCTTTTGACCTCAATAGCTAGCATTTAATGCTTGCTTTATCAACATGTAATTTAAAAAGTTATAAATTGGGTGAGATTTTTGTCGATGATTATTTAGCATCATCTTGTAGTATCAGAGGAAAGAACTATTTTTGTTGTGTATCATTATTTTTAGATTGACCAACAACCAATATATGAGCATTCTTTTGCTGGATACTTCTATTATGTGATCTTCATTATCATGGGCGCTTTCTTCTTCTTGAACCTGTTTATTGGTGTCATCATCGACAACTTTAACCGTCTAAAACAAGAGGTATTTATAACAACAAGACACAAGGCAATAGATATGAAGTACTTTGTATAGTTTACAACATGAGCGGCCGTGTTGTATGGGAATTACAATCTCGAGCCGCAGGCKAGAGATTGTAATTCCCATACAACACGGATGCGAATGTTGTAAACRACTTATAAAACTCCAACACAAATTAACATGAATTACAGTGAGATAAATGACGAAAAATGACAAATAAGGTAACTGCCGAGTTTAGTCCCTATTAAGCATGCGCAATTTACTGCAACACAGAACATTTTGAATAATTATCCATCCCACATGGAAAGCAAGCCATCGGTTGCATAAGCGAGTTCTGTTATCCGTCTTTGATTGCTTCAAAACCTAGTGAAGGTCTATGATGCGACACTAAAACTGAGACCTTTGCTAGTGTTGGGTTGTCTCAATGGTGACGACCGTGTTGTAAATCTGATACAACACTAGTGGTTGTATCAKATTTACAAGGTCAATCACCTGAWTAMAYKGTYAGCCCTTATTGGAGCAATAGCTTATGCATTATTAATAAGTTTTATAAGAATTGATATAAAATATAAAAAATATTTATTAATGATTTAGTATGAAGACAGTGGTTCTTTGGGATTCCTCCTTACACCAGGACAACGAAGCTGGGTCAACACAATCAAGAAAACATACTTTCGTAAACCAAAGAAGCAGCCTAAGAGACCCAAGGTAATTTCATCGTCAATAACTTGTCCTTCTACCAGCCTGTTTCTAATCTCTGACTCTATCTGTTTGCGGCATTATATAGAATGTGAAATCACATAATTTTCACTTGTCTGGATRCTTCTTAAAAAATAAATAAATAAACAAACAATTAAATAGATACCGTAAAACAAGTAACAGTGTGATTTTATTATTGATTTTAGTCCAAGTGGCGAAACTGGATTTTTGACTTGATCCATCAAAAGAAGTTCGAAATATTCATCATGACTGTGATTATGTTGAACATGCTTACAATGATGCTGCAGCACCATAGGCAAGACGAAGAGTTTACCAACGCTTTGAATATCCTTTGAATTTCTAACTTACAGCAGCAAAATCTTGTTTGATATCCATAAAGAATGGGGCAGGGTACTCGTTTGATGAGGGAAAGTGAAAGAAATTGAGTGTTTAATGTAGGGTGACGCCTTTAATAGAGGAGGGGAGGTTCTACTTTGAGTAAACGAGGGGTGTCAGCTCATCTAACAAAGGAAAGTTAAAGTTTGCATCATAAAATGCTTAAAACTCAAATGCAATGTTTTGAACATTTYAACAACAAACCCRAATGTAAAATACTTCTATGGTGAGGGATTTATCAATGCAAAGTTGACTGTTTCCTTGACGATTGTCCGGTATTCCCGGATAAGCACGATATCTGAACTATCTGTTTACCGGTATCTTCACTGTGGAAGCTATCGTCCGCCTCATCGCACTCAGATTCGACTACTTCAAGCAGCCGTGGAATGTGTTCGATTTTGTGATTGTTATTTTCTCGATTATAGGTAAAAATAAGCATTTAATTTAAATTAACTTACCATTGCTTTTGTTTAATGTTGTTGGTGAGGTCGTTTTTGATGGTGGTATGTTCGGTTATTGCAGTAAATAACGGCTTCATTTTAATCTTGAAAGGTAGCCGTGCTTTGTAAAAACGGTTGAAATTTGAAGTGACAGATACTATTTTCATACCTTATTATTATATTATTCGTAATCCCACCACGATGTTTCGATGCAAAGGCTACCTTTAAAGATGAAACTTGGTATTTGGCGGTGATGGCTGAATCTTATTAATTTGTTATTCAGGAATAATCATGGATGATGTCCTCAAAAAGAAAATGAGCTTCTCTCCTGGTCTTCTTCGTGTAGCGCGTGTGTTCCGCATTGGACGTCTTCTGCGGTTCTTTGAAGGYGCGAAGGGTGTTCGTCGTTTGCTGTTTGCGCTGGTGAAGTCTTTACCGGGTCTCGTTAACATTGCTACTCTTCTCTTCTTGATCATCTTCATCTACGCCATCATTGGCATGTCGTCGTTTGCCTATGTGAAGAAAGACAACGGAATCACGGATGTTGTGAATTTTGAAACGTTTGGCAATTCGATGTTACTGTTGTTCCGCATTGGCACAGCAGCTGGATGGAACACCATTCTTGACCCAATGATGGTCACTRAACCCGACTGTGACCCAAAGTTTACACCACCAGGCGAAAAATTTGGTGGAAATTGTGGAAAGCCGTTACTTGCCGTTATTTATTTCGTCAGTTATATTTTATTCATATTTTTAATTATTATCAATATGTACATTGCGGTCATTTTAGAAAATTTCAACGAAGCACAGTCACAAGAAGACATTGGCATCACAGATGACGATCTGGAGACATTCATTTGTGTATGGGAAAAATACGACCCCAAAGCAACTCATTTTATACATTATTACCAACTTAGTGACTTCTTAGACGAGCTGGATGAACCAATGCGTATACCCAAGCCTAATAGAGACAAATTTGGCGAGCTCGCAGTGCCTCTTAAGTCCAACAATAGAATTTACTGCATTGATCTTATGCAGTCGTTAGTACGTAAGAAAATAGGCGATCTGGAAGGAGTAGAGCATGAAGAAATGGATGGGTTAATGCAACGACTTAAAGACAAGTTTAATTCTAAGTCAAGTAAAGATAAAGAAGAGGATAATGTTGCACAAATAGCTGAAATCCACGCCCATGAAAATAAAATGGCTGCTGTCATACAGAAAGCATATAGAATTCACTTACTCAAGCGCAAGATACGAGAGCATTGTCACACTAAGTTCCACAAATACGACCGATTAAACGAGAGCAAAGAAAAAGAAAAACATAGCCATGGTCATCACGGATTGTGGAAAGAGAAGCAGCTACAGACGAAATCTGAGAGTACGGCGGGTTTGGAGACGGTTGTTGCTATGTTATGGTACAACGAAAGCAAACGACACGAAGAGGAACGTCAGTCCGCAGCAGCAGCAGCAGCAGCAGCTGCTGAACGCAATAARTCTGAGGATGATTTGGAGACTAAAGACAAAGAGGACAAGAAAGAAACAAAGACACAAGGGGAGACTAGTGAGGAAGGCGGACGAGATTCGAAGATGTCCAACTGTTGAACCAGTACAACCAAAACTGGTATGTAAGCCCGCGAAGGATTTCACACAGTCCTCGATCTTTCAATTTAAATCATTGGCAGGATAAACATAATCCATCCTATAGTTGGGTTCCAATATCCCTATGAACAAAACATGACAACATATCAAAAGTGGACTGGATTCTAGTAATATTTTTGGTTGTCATAGTAACGGCCACGACAGACCCTCACATTTGCCTCTTTAATATGTGTGCTCGTTTTCAGTCGACGGAGGCCGAGCTGTGAGCACAATGTAAATATGACCAAAGAATGGCATTAATATCTGTGTGTTCCTGTTAAGACCATTAGATTAACCCTTAGTTCCTGTCGTGGTAGACAAGTACGGCCCATAAATGGAGGTCGTCAGACGGCGGCGAACAAAGAACTGCAACACTTAGAGCAAGGTTATGGTATTGGAAGAGTTTAGCAAATTTGTGCTTTCTTTTGCGTCAATCAATCAAGTTTTATCCAATCTAGAACAATTTTCGCACATCCATGGAAAAGGACCAGAAATCCCTTCTGCTAGAACTAAGATAAACCCAATGTATTTATTGAATCAATGAATTTTGATACTTAAACTCATAGAAAACTGTTTTTGCGACGCCAAATTTGTGCCGCCATGAAAACAAAAAACGAAAAAGATCATTGGCTCCTTTTGGTTTCTTGTGCGGCATAAATTAGGTGGGCGTATCTCCAGGAATTGTTGAGAATAGTGGTTGCTGGAGATTTAGCTATCGCTTTAGAAGTCAATGCAAAGAAGTCCATAATTAAGACAAGCTACAAGTGTACCAGAGATTATATGAATATTTCAGCAATATTGATCTGCAAAAGAGATAATTTGTCAAGCACGTATTAGACGTGTAAACAAAGACTGGCGTAACCGTCAACGGTAATATTAATGTTCGTCTTGACCTTCCACCCCTGAATATCAGCACTTTTAAAATATGTTTAAAGCAAAATTATTTATTTGAATATTTATTTTTGGAGACTTTCTCTAGTACTTAGTCCCTCTCTTGGGATTGTATTATAGATATCAACCATGATGCACTCGGTGCCTAAATCTACCTATAATGCTCTGCGCGTTTCGGTAGGATTCTACCCATAATGCACTAACCTCTTATTCTAGTTACCAGCCCATCTCTTATTGTTAATGTCTTCTAGTCAATTAGATCGCGTTTCAAGGATTTAGYCCTTTAATGAATTATCTTATATGGCAGACGAAATTCTGCCTTTGCTCTTTAACAACTTTTTATACTGATTTTGAATTTTTTATTAATATTAATAATTGTTTTGGAGGTGTGGTCATATATTAAACACTTTCGCCTACAATGTTCATCTTTGTTCTTATAAATGTATATTTTTTTTCTCTCCCTTATGTAATTAACCAATCCCAGAGTTCTCAGTAAGTGCTATTTTACTGAGCACGGCGTTAACTGCATTTCAGTAAATTTCGAGCCAAGTCCGATGTATATGTGTTGTGTGCCTTGTGTCTATTAAAGTAAATACCTTAGTAATATGATCACATGTGTTATCTTACACTTTTTAATCCATTTTGAAGTTCCSAACATCTTGAAAGGTAACCCAGCCTTTGCATCAAAGTGAGACAGCGGTTGAGCCTGCAGGAATAGACAAGACAATTATCTTTAGCTATATGATGGTGCAAAAGCTCGACTATCTTTCGATGTTTCGAGATGGAACTGAGAAGAGCAATCTACACCCTGTCGCACCCCTTAAAGGGTTGACCGTTGCTACCATTGCGCAGTCTATCTAAATCAAGATTGAAAGCGGTGGATTTCGTCAAACTGACCAAAGTTCACGCGGGTACATGACGGTTGTGCATCATATAAAGAGTTATCAATAATGGGTTTGACAAACAGGTTTTCAACATGAGGGCATGGCGTTACGTAATGACAGTTTCATCGAAGGTGGAACAACGGTGAAATGACGAACAATGCACTTAAG